GACTTCGCCGGGGCCCGAAACATGGTAGTATGCAGTACTAGGTTCAAGCATAAAAAGATCCATCAAGCTAACTGGCTGTCTCCGTACGCACACTCCGAGGCCCAAACACATCATGTTGTGATAGACGGAAGGCACGCTTCCAGTGTTTTAGACGTACGCACACTCCGAGGCCCAAACATCGACTCGGACCACTATCTTGTTGCAGCCAAGATACGCACCCGCCTATGTGCAGCAAAAAATGTGCGCCCAAATATGCAAGGAAAGCTTAACGTCGAAAAGCTGCAATCACAACAGACAGCCAGCGCTTTCGCTACTCGACTCTCACACCTGCTCTCAGAGAGCACTCTTCAACAAACCGACATATGCGAGCAGTGGAACCACATTTCCCGCTCATTAAGTACCGCCGCCGAAGAAGTAGTCGGATTTCAGCGAGCCCGAAAGAACAACTGGTACGATGAGGAGTGTCAGGAAGCTGCAGAGAAAAAAGATGCCGCCTACAGGGCCACGCTGCGATCGGGCGCAACGCGCGCTATGTGGGACCGCTATAGGGATCTGAAGAGGGAAGCGAGACGTATTTGCCGCAATAAGAAGAGAGAGGCCGAAATACGTGAGTGCGAAGAGCTTGAAATGCTGGCCGACAGGAGGAATGCCCGAAAATTTTACCAGAGAGTTAGGCGACTTACGGAAGGTTTAAAGACCGGGGCGCACTCCTGTAAGAACAATAATGGCGACCTAGTAACTGATGTCCAGAGCGTACTTAAATTATGGAGGGAACACTTTTCCGCCCTACTAAATGGTAGCAGCACGGAAAGTTGTGGAGAAGAAGAACCCGAGCCCGCAGTCGATGATGACGGAGTCGACGTTCCACCGCCTGACTATGACGAGGTACGTATAGCAATAACGCGGCTGAAAAACAACAAAGCCGCTGGAGCTGACAGCCTGCCAGCTGAGCTATTCAAGTACGGCGGCGAGGAGTTGATAAGGTGCATGCATCAACTCTTGTGCAGAATATGGTCAGATGAACGCATGCCCGACGACTGGAATTTAAGTGTGCTCTGCCCAATCCACAAGAAAGGTGACCCCGCCATTCGCGCCAACTACCGCGGGATCAGCCTTCTAAGCATAGGTTACAAGGTCTTATCGAGCGTATTGTGTGAAAGACTGAAGCCCACCGTCAATGAACTGATTGGGCCTTATCAGTGTGGCTTTAGACCTGGCAAATCCACCATAGACCAGGTATTCACAATACGCCAAATCTTGGAAAAGACCCGCGAGAAAAGGATCGACACTCACCACCTATTTGTCGACTTTAAAGCCGCTTTTGACAGCACTAAAAGGAGTTGCCTATACGCCGCTATGTCTGAATTTGGCATCCCCTCAAAACTCATACGGCTGTGTAAAATGACGTTGAGCAATACCACCAGCTCCGTCAGAATTGGAAAAGACCTCTCCGAGCCGTTCGCCACAAAACGGGGTTTCAGACAGGGCGACTCCCTTTCATGTGACTTCTTTAATCTGATGTTGGAGAAGATAATAAGAGCTGCAGAACTGAACCGCTCAGGAACAATTTACTACAAGAGCGTGCAATTGCTGGCTTATGCCGATGACATCGACATCATCGGTAACAAAAACCGCGAAGTCTGTTCTGCCTTTTCCAAGTTGGATAGGGAAGCAAAGCGCATGGGTCTGGTGGTAAACGAGGACAAGACGAAGTATCTCCTGTCATCAAACAAACAGTCAGCACATTCGCGCCTTGGCACCCACGTCACTGTTGACAGTTACAATTTCGAGAAAGTAGAGAATTTCGTTTACTTGGGAACCAGCATTAACACCGATAATAATGTCAGCATTGAAATCCAACGTAGAATCACTCTTGCCAACAAGTGCTACTTTGGACTGAGTAGGCAATTCAGGAGTAAAGTCCTCTCTCGACGTACGAAAACCACGCTCTATAAGTCACTCATCATGCCCGTGCTGGTATATGGCGCAGAAGCATGGACAATGACAACATCCGATGAGGCGGCTCTTGGGGTGTTTGAGAGAAAGATTTTGCGGAAGATTTACGGTCCTTTACGCGTTGGCGACGGCGAGTACCGCAGACGATGGAACGATGAGCTGTATGAGCTTTACAACGATATGGACATAGTGCAGCGAATTAAAATACAGCGGCTCCGCTGGCTTGGTCATGTCGTTCGAATGGACACCAACGCTCCAGCTCGGAAAGTATTCAACTCGGAACCCGCTGGTGGTAGCAGAGGAAGAGGGAGGCCCCCACTGCGATGGAAAAATCAGGTGGAGAAGGACTTGGCTTCACTTGGCGTTTCCAATTGGCATCAGTTGGCACAGAGGAGAAACAACTGGCGTGCTTTGCTGAACTCGGCCAAAATCGCTTAGGCGGTTACAGCGCCAAAAAAGACGAAGAAGAGAAGATAAACTAATCGATTGATATTCTATTGTAAGCATTAAAATTAATAACAAGTTAAAACAACAAGTTTTTTTTTTTTTTGTTTCCATTTTCTACTAAAATAAATTACAATATTTAATTAGCACTATCCAAGGTTTTGTCGCAAAGATTTTGTATATTCCTCTCAACCAATATAGCCGTAACCACTGGGATAATAACCACCGTTACTGCCGGCACTTGCGCTTGCAGATGATTGACTGCTTGCAGATGCAATTCCTCCACCGGGATATCCTCCATATCCTCCACCGGGATATCCTCCACCGGGATATCCTCCATATCCTCCACCGGGATATCCTCCAAATCCAAAATCGGGATATGCATGGCGTGCTACACGTCTTAGCTGCTGCGGTTGATATTCGAAAACGACGGCCGCTGGTTGTTCAATACTCAGTAGCGTTTCACGTTGCACGGGCACCCCATGGCACATCACAACGAGCAGGCAAAGTGCCAAGCAAAAATTGACGGTGGATTTCATTTTCAAATCGGCCTGTTTTCTTGCACAAAAATATGATTGTTGTTTGCTGTTACAAAAATACTCGACTTCTGATTATCTACAGCAAATTGCTGATTATTTTATAGATGCAAATTGGCGAAAAGCAGTTCGATAAGTAATTGAAGCTGGTAAGGCGGGACGAGATATCAATTCGAGTTTGAATTTGTGTGACAAGATGAAGCCGCTTTTTACATACATATACAGTACATAAGTACATTTTCTAATAGCTTAATATGTAAGTATACATTTTTTCTATATAAGATTTTGTTTTACTTAGGTGATTGTTAGGCTTAGGTTGTTGTTATTTTTCATATTTACATATATACATACATACAGTCAGTCAATAAAGTTTACGTACAGCGAATTTTTTACAATACGGGCAACTATTTTTTAAATATTTTAATTTTCGATAATTTTTTATAAAAATATGGTTAATTCTGCTACAAAAAAAAAACAAAAATCAGAGTTCCAAACCTCGTGCAAAATTAAAGAATATTCTGCAAAATTTCATTCAAATATTGCACTTTTTAGTTACGCTCTCTAGAAAAAAGTTGAGTATGCAGTTTTTTAGCCCATTCAGTTTTACTATAACAAAGTGCAAGTTTGAGGTATCTAGGACTTTCCATTGATTTTTAGCATTTTTTTTGTTGAATGTGTCGCTCCTATAAAATAATGTTTGATAATTTTTTTATATGGAAAAAATGTGCGACACCTTCAACGAAAAAATTTCCCAAAAATCAATGCTAAGTCGTAGCTTCCTCATAGTTGCACCTTACTATGAATACTGAATAGTCAACTTTTTTCTAGAGGGCGTAAGCAAAAAGTGCAATATTTGAATGAAATTTTGCAGAATTTTCTTTAATTTGCACAAGGTTTGGAATTTTGATTTTTGTGGTTTTGTAGTAGTAATAAAAAGTTTGCGAAAAATAAAAAAAAAAATAAAAAATAGTTGCCAGTATTGTAAAAAATTCGCTGTACCAAAACTTTATTGACTGACTGTACATATGTATATGAATATTAAGAAATATGTTGGATATAATTTTAAAATGATGGGCAAATTAACGAAGTGGTGGCAGCTTTATGGTAACTGCGCAAAGATTCGAGTATGGTGAAAATAATTCCAGAGGCTTAATAAACAAACGACTTTAGAAAGTGGGGATTTTTTCTATAAGTAATAATATTATTTAATAATTCATGGGTTATTAACACTTCCATCGATGTTTTTGCAAACGCATTTAAACCAGCTTATCTTTGTGTATTCGACTTGTGCATGTGTCTGAGCTTAAATGCTTGTTTGCTACAAAAAAAAAGCAATTAAGATAAAAAAATTAAATTATTCAGAATAAAAAATACACCGCGGTCTAATGGCATAACATTTGTATACCGATCAATGTTCGCTAATAAACGCATATAAATGTGATATGATTTGGACTTGCAAAGGGATTTTATTCTAAATTATTAAGAAAAAAATGAAGGGGACCATATATTCGAATAAAATATTTTACTTGTAAATCTTGATTATATTTAAATAGAGGCAATTGCGGCCCGCACGCCGCAGTTAGCTGACCTTTGCCTCAGAAATGTTTGTACTCATGCGAAGTCCTTAACATCGATCGTTTTCTAAAAAAATAAATAAAAAAATAGATACTGACGCCATTATGGCTTCCGTTGATATAAAGTGCCCAATTCCCTTAATGGGGGTGTATCACCCGTTCTCTCTCACAGGACCAAGATCTTGGACCTGATTCTGGACATGCAGTTATCATGGCAGCCAAATAAGGAGGAGCGAGTAAAAAAAATGATTCGGTGGCTCTTTACTGCTTTAAAAATGTACTGTGGAATAGTTGAGTGGCCTCTCTCCAAAATTCATATACTGGCTACATATATATGAAACTATAATCAAACCAATCATGTTATACGAAGCTAGGGCGCGTGCGAAGGGCGGCGGGTTGTTGAAATCAGAAGAGCGCCTAGTCTACCGCTAAATGCTCTCCTCAGTGTCGTATCTGTTGACTTTGGAGGCAAAGTAGCACCGGTTCGCTCAGCCATTAGGCTCAAAAGCTCTGGGTTCTCTTTCAAACCAGCGTACCGGGACTCGACAATCTTCAAAAGCTTACATTTACTTCCGGCAGAAATGGATCAGAGNCTACGGGAAATTTTGATGTTTTACTTATCTTTAAATTGTGCACCAGAAGTTTATTAACACTTTTTTTAATTTTTTACTTTAATAAGCGTAAACAGCTTTATCAAACACAAAATTTAAACAGATCACAGAAAAACACAGCTTCACAGCTTGACGTTTGCGAAACGAGGCTATCCCCAAACGGACGATCGAAACTGTCGAGAAATACGTGATCTCTCTCTTAACCGCCTCGGAATACTCCCAAATAGAGCTGATTTGGGTTCCAGGCTACAGCTACAGCCTCAGGCAGGGAGTGCATAGCAGTTACGTTGTCAGTCTGCGAACTGCTACTGAACATATGGGCCCATAGGCGGTCCAGCGAGTGCTGGGAAAAAACCCAGATATGCAAAGTTGCAAGGTCTGTCTGCCCGGTTATTGACCACGGGCGGTTAAGGGAGTTTCTGGAGCTTGCTAGGCGCCTGGACTCGATTCTGACAAGTTTACTGACTGGTCATTTTCCTTTAGGAACACTGTGTGACTTGTTTGGAAGACGAGATGGAATCACCTCATCACTTCCGTTTCAGTCAAAACATCCTAATATAACCTTCTATAACTCAGTAAGAAGCTTTCAACTATTAGAAGATGTTGCCTCCATAAAAATTCATGCCCTTTTCAAGCTTTAAAATTGCAGAAATGGATAAATATCTCCTCCGCCATACAGACATTTAAACGTGGGCAATGTGAGTTCCTTTATCGTCGTAGCAGCACAAGTGCCTTCGAACAACCTGGCCACCCAATAGAGGTCATCCCGCCAGTAATCGTCGATAAATATAATGATATTGGATGAACAGAGAATGAAAGCGTGTGGGTTGGCTGAGGCTGAAAGCATCTCAACTGAGTGGGTGCATCACATTTTACATGAATATCTGTATATGAAAAAGACATCTCGTGCGACGGCTGCCACTCTTGCTCACACTCGACCATAAATGTAACCGTGTGATCACGGATATAATGAGGCTATTTTCAGCCGGAAATCGAGCAAGTTTTTGCACCGTTTCGTAACCGTTGACGAAACATAGATTCTCCACCAGAGACCAAGAAACCATCAAGAAGTGCACCAAAAAAGGCCAAAGATTCGGCCGATAAGGTCATGGCCAGAGTTTGTTTGGGTGCACACGATGTCATTCAGATCGATGACCTTGACAACGGCAAAACGATCAATGGCGAGCATAATTCAGAGACTGAAGACAGATATTAAAACTATGCGGTTTCGTAGGCATTGAAAGGATCTGGGACCGAACATTTCAGTTATTGATGAAACCGTCATTGAAAAATTCACTATGAAGGAAATGTTCTACAACTAAGTGATACATACCAATCGATTTCTTTTTTCAGCGAGAATCAAATTTGAAAATAAATTTTTATGCAATTACTTTTGATTTCTAAGTTATGTGTCTCAAATAACAGTTATCGAAGACTTTTATTTATAAAAGTCATCAATAAAAATCAATCAGGGACTTTTACTTTTAAAAGTCATCAATATAAATCAGTCACCGACTTTTGTTTTTAAGTCATACATATAAAAGTCATGTATAATTTTTTGTATTTAAAAAAGTGTTGGCGAACATAAGTTTACTACGCCTTATACAAACCACTTTTATAAGTATGATTTAAAAAATAAAAGTCACTGGCTGCTTTATATTGATGATTGATTTTTATTTATGACTTTTATAAATAAAAGTCTTCGATAACTGTTATCTAAGACATATAATTTACAAATTAAAAAAAAAAAACAGTTATTTGCAGATTATTTATATAAAAATCAAAAATAATAGTTATTTTAGATTTTTGAAATAAAAATCAGAAATAACTGTCATTTGAGGAGTAATTAAATAAAAGTCAAAAAATAACTGTTAAAGAGCGATTTTTTTAATAAAAGTTGTAACTGTTACGGTCCCTGGAAAGGATAAACTAACTCTACATTTTTATAGCCATCTTCATTGCATAATAATGACATCTACATTCGGCTCTTAACAATGTTTGTTAAAACAGTTTCACTGGAATAATCGAAATACTTCCTTAGAAAAAGTTTAATAATTTTTTTAAATTTTATTTATAATTTATTGACATTTAGATGTTAGGAAAACTTAGCTCTGGGGGGAAGTGTCAGAACGCCGTAATTGAGGTCACTGAACTTTTGAACAAAAAAATTGCCTCCATGCTTTTAGATTCAACTGCGAATTCCGAAGTTATGAAGGAAAATATACACAAGCGACCCCTACGTTCGACCAAGAAAAAAAGAAATCGAAATTGCGTTCGAATAGAAATACGTCCTTAGCAAAAGTTTACTGATTTTGGTGAGCTTAATAGCGCATCTCCCCCAAATGCTTAACTGCAGTTATGGGCTCGGACAAGGACGAAATATTTTAACATTGGGTGATTGGCAATGTTTATTTCTTACATTTTGCTTTTCTACTTTCGTTTTCTTCTTCAAAATATGAGCAATTATTCCGTTCGAGTGATAATCTCGTTTTTCCAACAGGCATAAACTGCAGTTAAGGCGGCTTGGTGGAAACGCCTTATTATAAGGCATATAAGGGTGGTGCGTTAGGTTGTTAGAAACTGAGTTCATTGTAAGTGCCCTCTTTTATTGAGTGTCAGGAGGATACACGTACCTATATCGAAAGAGTATCTTTAATTAATTATTTTACTGAACCAATTACTATCCCTGAGGAAGCCGAGGAGAACCAACAGTTCCACCTCTGCTACTGCGCCCAGACTGGTAAAAAAGCGTGAACCCAAGTACTTGATTCGCTTCGTCTGTAGACCTGGACATCGACACAAATAGTGGTCTATGGACTCTTCCTCATCCTCATCATGGCAGCCCCTGCAGAGAGTACTCGTAGTTATTCGCCACCGTTGGATCATTGGTGCTATAGCACAGTGCCCTG